AGGTCTAGGAAATAGAAGAATTCCAGCAAAGATCTTTGAACATCTTCCCCCATCTAACACAACTCTCTTTGAGCTGCTCAAGCAAGTTGCTTACTCTTACAGTCAAATGGTAGAATGACAGCAAAAGGATTCTTCCCCAGCCTATTTAGAATGACTTTCACACTCTGCCAGCCCCTCACAGCATTATGCTTGGACAGACTTCACACAAGACTGTTTTCCATTTCCATTCACTTTGATGGCCAGTCTGTTAATATTTCTAATGAAAAAAAAGTGATCTTTCAGAGCAGCCTTAGGTTCCTATAAAACTTTGGCCTTCTTGCTTCCTTTTCGCTTTCCACTTATCTTTGTCTTCTCTTCTTCTTCAGCCACTAGCCCCTGCTGTTACCATTTACTCAATCTCTTCTTTCATGCTGCTCAATATTCTGTCTCTAGAGGTTGCACCTCATCACTCCTTCTACAGAACAAACTCTTTCCACAGAGCAAACTTCTTCCACAGATTTCCTTCCTATTCTGGTATTTTCTGCCCTGTCATCATTTTAATATATTTATAGATCCTTTTCATCTGGGGATCTGCCAATCAACCCATCTGCAACTACAGTTATGTTCATGCTCTTTCCTTTCATCTTATCTGTCATACTCAAATGCATTTCTATATTCTACCCTCATTTCTAGCAGCATTTATGTCTCTCACACCTCTTTTTTTTTTCCTGAACATTATGAGATGACCCTTCATGCATATGTAAATTCTGTCAGAAACTCACTGAAGGATAACATACACCTTACAGCTTCTGCATCCAGTCATCTTCGTAGTTTCTGCCATATTTTGGTCTTCTCCACTGGTGCCCAAGATCCTCTGTTTTTTTCTCCCTTACCGTAGGTTTAAAATCAAACAAACCATCTGCATACCAGGGTCCTCTCCAAAATTCTTCTTTTACTAGACTCATACCAGCTTCTAGTTGCTTTGATTCTGACACCTTCTTACCTACATTAGCCCACCACTTCATTTAGGGTTAACTATGATCAAAGGCCATGATCAAAGACTTCCTCTTTGTGCTGTTTAAACTAAGCCATATGGCTTTGCAACACAGCTTATCTAGTCTTGTTTGAACTGGTTGTGCACTTCTATGCACAGCAATCACTTCCAATCATAGTAAGAAATCCATGTGGATTTTCTGATGCACTTATGCCAAAGCTCACATTACAGTTACCCCAGGCAGAGAAGCTGCCTGGTGTTTTGGAAGCCTGAATCAGAATTTCACAACAATTTCCCTTCATCCAGCAGTAAATACCTGTCAGAAGGTGGGCATGCTTTGCTTCTGGGGTGTTAATTTGGTGGAGTTTTCTTCTTTTTCAAAAGTAAAACATCTAAATAGAGTTCAAGCACAACCAAAAGTACAGGGTGATGCTGCTGATAATTTGAGAAAAAAATGTTGAGAGTTCAAAACATTCCTAATGCAGCTGCTGATATGGATAAGTACAGGGGAGGGCTTAATATAATGGACTTCTCAGTCCAGGCAGGGTGAACTACCAACTGTAGATCTCCTCTGACATGGCCAATAATTTTCACTAAATACAGTTCATTAGTGTCTAGACATCACTGATTCACCCTTCACATATTTTTCTTCTCAAAATAAAAATGTGAACCAAAATCTAAATTTCAACTTAATTCTCCAGAGGTACAAGCTGAAAAAAGTGTATTTTGCTTTATTAAAAAGCCCTAGAAGCATTTTGGTTACAATATAAAAACCTTTTCTGGAAAAAGAAACACCAGTATTCATGATTTACCCAACACTGCAATAGATTATAATAATTTATAGGAAGGCCATATCTGGAAAAAAAAAAAAAAAAAAAATCAAACAAGAGTGAGAGATAGAACTGGAAAGACATCTCTTGATGAACTTGAAGTGTTTTTTATATGTGAAACTTAGATTCTTAAATCACTGGATCAGAAATATTTGTCAATCTGACTGCAGGCCCCATACTCTTAGTTCTTAGTTCTTTAGTCTTTTTTTATCTGGAGACTGAAGTGCTGTATGATATACTTCCCTTCTCCCAGAATTTCAATTAACAATAATGTACATATTTTCTTGATAATCTTTACAATTTCTATCATGAAAATATAATATTCAGAAAATACTACTGCATCAGTTCAGCTTCCAGAACTCTAATGTCATGAACACTAATATATTGTACTGATATGGCTAAAACTTGGACTAAAGAATCAAACTAATATGTTTATAAACACCATGTATTAGACTGGCTGGTTTGTTATAAGGTAATAAACAGAAAAGCTTGCATCTAGTCACTTGTGGTTGTTAAATAAGATTCTTTGTGACTTGCAAAAAAACTAGAACACAATGAAGAATTATCAGTGCATTCTCCACGGAAGTCATCTACATGTGTTTATTTAATAAACAGAAGATGGCTTTATTATACACATTTGATTTCCATATGCAATCGTCTCCTTATCTGTCACTTGTATCTAAGCAGAGTGCTTTATACAAATCTGAAAATGAAAAATTCAGAGCAGGGCACAGGAAACTCATTTAATGTCGAGTGCAGTCAAAATCAAGATTTCTTTATTTGTAGTAACAACGCTGTTAAATCAGAAAATTACTCTCCTTTTCTGCATGTCCTTCTTCCTTTACAATTCAGTTGTTTGATCATAAATTGTCGAGTGCAATGACTTGTCTCCTCCACTTTCCACACTGGTCGAGACAGATTAAAAACTCAGGCATACCACCAACCAGTCTCAGCATACCATTAGCATATATATGAGATTTGAGACATTTTCTAATATTCTCCAGCAGAACTCATCTGTCAGCCAGGTGATGAATTATAAAAACTCTTAGCTTGTTTAGAAAAGAGGGGGAGAGTGAGAGAGAGAAAGAGAGAGACAGAAGAGGAAAACACTATCCCACCTTTCTTTTTCATTTTACCCATCTACCTTTGCAGTTAGTCATATAAATAAACGCTAACCTAAATAAAAGAGACACAGTGGGAAAGATTTAATACATGAGCAGCAGAGCACAATTAAAAGCTCATGGAAGTGGATAGAACTATGGAGTGGTCAATGATCTACATTAAAAATTTTTAACAAATTTTTTTCCACCTCGTATTAGCAAAGACTCATAAGGTGCATTACAAAATTCACACAGCTATCAGAAGCTGGTAAACCAGCACAGAGACTGTTTAGAAAAGAGTGGAATAAATAAAATGCAAAATTCATGCAATTCATAAAAGGTTTGGGATGGGGGTTTTTTTTGTAAATGTTCATGAGTTCAACAAGTTTTCCTGCACAATTTGAAAATTCTGTGTATTAAATTTAAAAAAATTAGCCTCCCTTATTTGGATTTCATTAGCATGTTCCAGTTTTTTCCCTGGTGGAATGCGGGCAATGATTTCTTGTGACTTAAATGAACAAACCTATGTGCACTATGAGTAGGAAATAGCAAACACATGATGTTACAAATAATGATTACCCTTTCAAATATGTCAGTAGATAATTACGTCGTACAAGTATATTTGAAAACTATCAAATTGCTACATGAGTGTTTTACATTAAAGAAGGGCTAAAGTTTATCATAATAATTTACACAGTCATCAACTCGCGATACCATTTGTAGAATCTGGTACTAACTAAAAACAACTTGTATTTCCTGTGAACTCTTGGAATTAGAACTGGGAAGATTTTAAAACATATATACATATATTTTTCCCATAGGAAAGACTTCTCAGGAACAAAGCTTTTCACAAGCTCTAGGAAAATTTCATAAATACACTTAAAAAAAGGAGAAGGGAGATTTTTTAAAATGTCATTTTTTTTTCATGCCAACATTCTTAACATATTCATTTCTGAGTGTGACAAAAAAAGGGTTTATTTCTATATTCCGAGGTGTGGAATTGATTCAACTTTTTGTTTGCAAAATAGTGGTTTTGTTTAAAAATTACCCTACCCAGAAAAAAATGAGAAAAACATTTAGAAGAAATTAAATAAAGCACTTATTTTTCATTTTAAAAAATCATATGTTCATAGTATCTAACAGTGTAAGTATGACAAGAAAAATTCAATTAGAATTTAATTAGAAGGTTTGTTATTACATGTACAAGTAAAACTATGCATATATTAACTTGCTTTCTACCCATAAATACCTTCGAGATTTGGGGCAACACATATCTATCTGGTATAAACTATGGAATAGAAACACCATTTTTTTTTAGGTGGGAATGTGTATAGAAAAAAAGACAGATTTATTTTCATAAACAATTTGATAGAAGTTTGGGATATAATCCTATTAACAATAGGATGGTATTTGTGTTAATATACAAGAGATATCCATCACAGGATAAAGGTTTTAGCCAGTAGAGTGACATTATGTGTATATGCACGGACTAAGAAATAATGTATACAGATTATTTGAAGTCTAAAATAGCATATTTAAGGAATAGTTATTTGGAACTGATATTGAACACCAGGTAATCATTTTTTTTTCTGCTAAACTATAAAGCTTGTGAGAACACAAATTAACAGCTAATGAGCTGTTTTTCCAGTTGGAGCACTTGTTCCAAGTTCTAGTGATAACCAGAGCTATCAAATTATAACCTGTTTTGGTTTCCCTTTGCAGATGTACACAACACCATTCTTAAATCTTACATTTATAAAGCAGAAACAATTTAAGGAAGAGATATCTAACTAGTCCTTTCTCTACATGATAGTCGTTGGTTGTAATACATCAGCATTTTTCAGGCATTTAATTTTCAACAATTTTTATGAATTTAGATTTGGACAATAAAACAATACTTCAGACAATTAAAACAATACTTCTCCACCAAATGCTTCCATTTACCAAAAAAGAAAATCAGCAGCATGCTACTAAACCCATTAATAGCTATTACTTGTTTAAGAAATTCTTTACAACATATAAAGATATATATATATATATATAAAGATATAGAAAGATATAGAAATATAAACTATGGGGCAATAAGAGCACAAAAATAGATGTAGAGCATAACACTGCTGTATTGCCAGGTTTCTCTAAAGTCATAGAAAAGTGTGACTTGAACATTCAGCTGTTTCTTTGTCCATTTACACTGAATATATTCAGTGAAAGTACTAGCACCATTACACTGAGTACTAGAAACATTACACTGAGGTACTTCCTCCTGATATTCATTATGTTTTGGAGTTAAAATTAAGGCCCTTTAAGATTCTGAAAAAATCTCACTCACACTAAAGAAGAGTGTTCTAGGACTAAAAAAGATAACACTGAAAATCAAAACAGATGTTCTTGCAAGGCTGCAAAGCCAGCGATGTAGATTTAAGTGATCCGGATAAGTTGCAAGCTGAAACTTTCAGAGATTTGCCAGCAAAACTTAGCAGTAAAAATCTGGTTAATATTAAAAGCAGAAATGCTTTTTCAACATAATCCTAAATGGATTTATTGTATCTCATTTTCTTAAGAAGCTTCAGTGAAGAAGTGGAATGAGAAAAACTAGCATGCTTTTACCATCTTTACTAAGAAAAACAATGTGGAAAAAAACCCCCAAATCTATAGATCTAAATCAAGTCCTAGAAAGGTCCTATTTATAACTGATTATAATTAGCAATAGAGTACTGAAACCAAATAAGAATATGGACTCCAAATTGACTTAAATTAACTTCGTAAACTCAGACCCATCCGCTGGTCAAAGCTGAAACAAAGATTTCACATTTGCTTTTAAGGAAGTTTGAGTCTGGCTGTGCACCAGGAGTTAGAGCTGAGGACTTTCTTCTTCTAAGACATCACAAAACAGTCTATGAAAAACAGAAATTAGATTTTGCTTACAGCATAGATAATATATATTTAGTAGTTCATCTTTTAACAAACTCGGTCAAGAAAATGGTTAATTCTTCACTGATCTGTTCTAGTATTTGCAGCTGTACAAAGAAAAAAGAGGAGAATAAAGCACAGGCAGTTTCTTTGTATGATATAATAAGCAAGATTATTGGCTGAAGAAGTCTCTTATCAATGTAAAATTCATGGAGGAAAAAATATCACAGAAATTATGTAATTGGCACATTGATAAATGACATGCCTACTTTACTGGGATTACTGCCAAGGGACACATCCAGTTTCATGCAGGGTTTCAGTCCCCATTAACAGCACCAGCAGATAAAGCAGCAAGTAGTTTATTTTGTGGTGTTCACAGATCTCTCCATATGTGGAACGGTAGGATAAATGTCCTTTAGCCATGCCACTATTGATCACTCTGGCATTAGTCTTACCAAGTCAAAGTCATCTTAATATAGACATTATATATGTTTCAACTGACTTAAAATTAGTAAGCATTTACCTGGATGCTGCTTAAAATAATTTAAATAAGCTCAACATACTGGAAATTAATGTCATAATCAAGATGTTTGTTAAATATGGACGGGTACATTTCAAATGCAAAGACACTAATACCAGACACTTCCATTGCTGCCACAATGCTTTTAGCCCATGGTAAAAATAACTCAGACATAGTGGTTTTTCAGGTGAGCTTCCCACTAAAGCCCTGAACCCAAGACCATGTTCTAATACTGGGCAGCTTCAATAAGTCAGAGGAAATCTTACAAAATGTGGCTCTATGCCTAGGTATTCTTCTATTTAGGAAGATTATCGATCCAGCTTCTCTCTAAACTATGCCATTTCCCATCTGGAACAGCTTAGAGATGGAAGAATGCATATTTAAGACCAGTTGTCTTTATAAGAAATTTATGATGATGATGGAAAACAGGAAGAGACTGCATTAGCCGTCAAAATCCCTTTAAAGCCTCCTTTTCATAGTGAATTATCAAAACCTCACCATTTCAACAGAACTTGCTGAATCAAATTCTCCTTTCACTATGAGCTCTTTTGCTGTTTGTTATTATCTCTTTCATTTCATCTCCTCTTTCGTTCTTTGTTTTTTTGTTTCCTTTGGCCTCTTAATAAAACAGACTTTTACACAACAAATGGATTCCCCATCTTCCCCTCCCAGGTGAATACTGTAACCAGTAGGCTGTAAAATTTCTCTCTCTCAAACTACTCTACGCACAGCAGTGCAGTTTTAATAGGAAGGGAGAAAAATGATTCCAGCGCAGCCCCTCAGCAGGCAGCATTGTAGGAGATACTGATTTGAAGTCTCTCAGGCAGCCAGAGCTGGCTCAGACTTCTCAGTAATGCCAGAAAAATTGAATTTTGCCTTCTGAACACTACCATGAGAGTGAGACACTCTTTCCATGGGTAAGAAAAGTGCAGGAAGGAGGAGTGGCACCCTGACTGAATAGACCAGTGAGGAGCTCACAGATCCTCTCCTGTCTGCACTGATGTGAGACATCGCAGCATTGACTGGGTATGGATCCCACACAGAAGCAGAGGCTTCCCCATACACACTTTCCCTTTCTGTACAGCAACTGCAGCCAACCCAGTTACAGTCATGTTGCTGCTCCAGAAAACTCCTTGCTTTGCCTCTTTCTGGAGATAGCCCTGTTAGCAGTGAAGGACTTTCAATCCAATCTTCTGATGACTTGAACATGTCCAGAAACTGCCTTTCTAACATTGAAATTCTCTAGACAAATTGCCAACAAAGTTATTAGCTGCCTCTGTATTTTCAGGAGAGTTCCATCCCAGCAGTCACTAATGCAGTACCATCTCCAAACACTTTCTGGAGTCAGATTTTTAAAGGATTCAGATTTGGATAGAAACTCCTCTTTTTTTGCTTCTAGATGGTCTAAACTGCTCTGATAGATCAAGCCTGGGAGAATTCTGGTCGACTAAAAAAGCCAAGATGCCTGGGAGCCAACATTCAGCAGAAGAGATGCAATTTACAATCTCAGATTTAGATCCACAGGCTTAAATTCATTCTAAGTGTTTCTTCAGGTGCATAAGCCCATTCGTGTATGGACAGCATAAAGTTTTATGTAAACCTCATCAATTGCAGTATTCACATTAAACAGTAGACCTGTAGTTTCAGGTATAGGTCTAATATGTGCACTTTATATAGCACTAACAGCATGTCACAAGATGCTCACAAGATAAAGTACATTCCTGTATAAGCTTTCTCAGATAAACCTTTTTGATCACACAGTCTGCTCACCAAACACGCACGAATAACGAAGCATGATTTAGGTTGACATAATGGTGAAATGGAGGGACAATAACTGAAGCCATATAACCTCCAAAAACATAACATAATCTAAAATATCCTAATTGACATGCAGATTAAATGCATTGTATGAAAGCTGTAAAAAAAATCCCCAAATTCTGCTCTTGCCTGCTCCCTGCTTACATAATACTGACACTTTGCAAAACTGTTTCCAAAAGTCAAATTTTAAGAACAGGCTGATGCATTTTGTACGTACTATTACACCCAAAAGACTCATTCTGTGCATCATTCTGTACTGAAAGATACAGGAATACCAAGACTCCTAAATAAGCTATAAGGTGAGGAATTTGATGCTTAGCTTACTTTTAGTATCAGTCAGGGATTTGCTACTTTTGCAAAAAAATTATTTTATTCTTTTTTTATTTTTAAAACATTGTAAATTTATCATTTTTTTATTATTTGGAAAAGTATTATTTTTTATAATGCAAAATTAAAAAATGGGGTACAAAGATACAAAGGTAACAGTTAATTACCCACATTTCTTTATATTTTTGTTTCATCAGATGCATTTAAAAAGAACTACAGAACTATTCAGACCTATTAAGAACTAGAATACAAAATTTAGTTTCTGATAAAAATAATGTTTCTTACAGTGTGTCTAGGTTTTTAAGTTATATGAATTAATTCGGATATATTCAAATGATACTGATAACTAATATGTAAAAGTAACGTCTATTTAAAAAAAAAACAAACCACACTAATTTCTCAGTAGACCTTGAAATAATCGTCAGCTAGGACAGGACTCCATAACCTTCAGATTTCAGGAGAGAATATCCCTTTAATTAAAATGGAACAGAGCTTGGGGAGTCAAGAAATTGCAGGAGAACAAAGACATCAGGCTAAAAGCAGTAAATCAAGAGCTGACTCCAGGGAGGAAGGGGTAGATCAAGTGGGGCTAGAAAATGGGAACTAAAATTCATAAAAGTTAGGCAGAGATGTGCAAAGTGGAAAGCACAGTAGCACAGCAGGAGAACTGAGAGGAGCATTCAGCAGAAAAGGTAACCTTTGAATTCCTTGGTTCTACTAGACTGTCTGGAGAATCAGGAAAAACAAGTACTGTCTTATTTATTTTTTTAAAAAATCCATGTTCCAAATGTATTAGAATTTTTGGAAATTCTAGGAAAACAATTTTGGTGTTATAAACTGAACACTCATGGATACCCACTGAAGATATGATTCCAAAAAGCCTACATGGCTCAACTCCAAAGGCACATGAGACATTCTACTTTCAGCAGAGGGAACTATATCCCCAGCAGTTACAGAAACATTTCAGAGTAGGCCAGTTCTGGATTTAAGCTGTTACATTCTGCCATTTGCTATTCTTCCTACTTTATTTTCCTGTACAGAAAGATGACTTTAAAGGGTCTCAACTACATATGTTTAAGGGTGGACTTTGGTCAGAATAAAGACAGTTTTGATGCTTGCATAAGGTAAGAAAAGCAATTTGTGGTTGAATATGGTAGATATATTGTGGGAAAAGGTCCAGTTCCAACTCATGGAATTTGACATACCTGCATTTTTTAGGTTGAAACTGTGCTGTAAAATGCAGATCATATGAGTTCCACTTGAACTGAGATGAAGACTCAGTGAATCTCCAACAAGTGTCTGCTCTTCAGCATTATGTACAGGGGTTTCTGCAATCAACTCGTATTTCCATTTTGGATTACAGTGTTTCCTAAGCACTGAGATAGTCATCCAAATGCATTACCCTTCTTTAAGCTAACCCACATCTTAATCTGTGATGAGACTGGGAAATGGTTGAAGACACATGTAACCGTCTCTGTTTCATCATGCACATATAGACCTTTCCTCGAGACACCTGAACAATGATGAATTGAGCCTATTCCAGTGCTCAGTCACAGACATGGTAGAATACCCTTCTTTTCCAGTAAGAGCCTACCAGACAACTCACTCAGCTAAAGGCTAAGGGACCAAAGTGCTAGACAGTCCTGCAGCCTGTAGGAGTTGAAATCATAGCTCTCACTTTCCCAGAAAGGACCCTTTACCTCTGGAGTATTGAAAAGGCTTAGGACTGGCGTACCTTTCATCTTACTTGAGGATGTGAGGGCACTGTAAGAAAATAAAAGATGAGCTGAATAACATCATATGCAACTTCAGCATATGCCGCTTCAGCTCAGGCACCCAAATTGCAAGGGCAGTAATGCTTCATGTGCCCTTGTCCCATGTTACCCAAGATCCAGCTTTAAGTGTTCTTTACCCTTTGAGTTATTATCTGTTCATTGCCTAGATAGATAGAGAGTTTAGACAACTAGTTTACATGTTTCTAACTATTCTCCTTAGCACCTTAGATCTGTGTTCATTCAGGTGCTGTGTGTCTAACATGGGTTGTCTGATCTTGACCACAGTTGCAGCCTGCTAGAGTCTAAGCCCACTGCAACAGCAGGAGAATACTGTCTAGTATCACAGGTATTGTAAGAAAAAGATAGTATATAAAATACGAATTTGAAAAATTATAAAACACATCTTATGGTTGTGAAAGGGAGGATTAAAATTGTTCAGTGATTACAGTAGTTGCTAGTTCATTCCCAGCATGGTTTATTACTTCATCCTCAATGCATCCTTCTTATAAATAATCAAAAGAAGCTTACCACATGCTTGGAACAATAATGCTATCCAGAATGGTAGTAATCTCTTTCTTAGTAAGAGAAGACATAGGTCAACATCTTTCAAGACTACTACAGACCTCAGCCCTCTTCAGGTCTTTCTGCTACTGGTAAATGCAAAAGAAGAACAAATCATTAGTAAAGAAAATGTTGATAAAATTCATTTAAGGAGTTACATCTCCTTCAACATCATCTGCAGTTGGCCATTTGATTCAATCCACTTCCTCATAATGCACCCTAAAATGGTAAGCATTCTAAGAAGAGTGTTTCAGTGACAGCTGCAATAGTCATTCTTTGCTCTTGGCAAGATTCTTTTCATTACCCAATGTCAGAATTTAGCTATAGAAGTTACTATTAAATAATGTTACTAAGACCTTATGAATCTAATAACCGTGAAGCTGAATTATATATGTAATTAATCATTAAAATCAATTAAATATGTTCTCTCCAAAAAGCAGGAGTTCTACCCCTCATATCTGCTTTCTGGTGTGTTTTAGATATGAATGTAGAAGTCAGTGAAATTACACCTCATTGGAATCAGGACTACTAGTTTTACTCCCAATAAGATTTGAGAGAATTGTGTAGGATGGCCAGGTTCATGACACCCTGTCATATGCTGTCACAGACAATCTTATGGGATCAAGGATATAGTCTGATGAAAGAACATGTTTCTCTGCATCATGCATTTATCAATCAATATGTATCAATTTATCTTTTGCTCATAGAGCAAAATAATCAATTAAGCAATGAAACCAAATTTCAGCTGGCAAGTGAAGCTGCAGTCAGAAGACTGGCACCAGGCTATACATGGTTGCAATCTGAATCTCCCTTACTCCTCAAATGTGAAACTTTCTTATAAAATTGTTCTACAGCTATCGAAATGTATCTGCATTCTACCCTCTCCGAGCCCATTAGGGTGACTGATAGACTTTAGATTAAAGTGACTTGAAAAAAATTACTTTTTTAGTATAAAAAAAAAAGAAGACATTCAGAGAAAAGAAAAGAACAAAACCCTACCTTTTCAGTAAAAACAGAAAGCAACAGAAGCTTTGGAAAAAGTGCTTGCCAATAGGAGGATTTCATGCTCTTGTTAATTAAAGGAACAAAGAAAAAACAGTGCAGTAGGCTGTATCCTACATAACAGCTTCTACTAATAAAAAGTAATAGACAATTTCCTGCATTCAATTCTTTTGAATACTATTATACAAGGTAATAGAGTTTTGGAAATGGAAGTCCTAGCAGCCTGTCAGAAAGAGCTTTCTTCCACTTTTTTTTATTAAATGACTAAGTGCAGCAGTCTGTGTCCTATCTCTCCCTCTTGCATCTATTGGATTGTATTATTTTACATTTTGATTGAAATGATGTCACCAGCAGATAAAAGCCTGGCCCAGGCATTGTAATTGAATCAGCCTGAGTTGTTTATTCTAGTGATCTACAGCGATGCTTTCCTTGTCCTAACACAGAATATATAAAAGATCCCCTCTTGTTTAACATGCTACTGATTAGATCTATTTTTTTTTAGAAGAAGGAGGAATCAAATTGGGGGGTCGAGAGAGTAGGAACTAGAGTTTGGGGTTGGTGGGGAGGAAATTGGAAAAAAACAGATGAGAAGCGACACCATCTGCAAAACTTTCCATGTGTGACTGAAAGTTTAAATAAATAAATTTCACATGGCATCAGTACCAGATGCAAACAGATTTGATTGACAACATTTAAATAACAGTTAATGGGAACGTCTACAATTTTTGGACGGTTTTTCATGCTTAGGTCCTAAATCTGACACTAATTCAAGTCTTTATTTAAAAACAATGCTTATCTTGGAAGAAGAAATACTTTAAATTGCTGGAGGCTTTACTGATATAAAAACATTTTTTGTATTGTTATTAAGATGCTCTATTTTCAATTAAAACATTTTACATTTGAAAAAGAGTTATAACCACCTTTCATTTGGCAAGCTGTGACAAAATTTACTTTCTTCAGTAATTATTTTAAGAGAAAGTCTTACTTTTATGGTAAGTGCTGTTTCTTTATTTTTTGTAGTCACCTCCCCCACACCTTCCTGCCCCCTGCCTCAAAGTCTCAATCAAATAAGGGAAAAAAATTGTACTATTTTATGTATGTGATGTGTGCACCTTAACATAAAACGTCTTCAACAGCATTTTTGGTGCTGGTGGTGGTGGTTTTCTGTTTGTGGTTTGGTTTTGATTTTTTACTTCTGGGTCTTTCCTCAAAGTATAATCATACGATGTGTAGTAGTAGTGCCAAGATGAAAACAAGCCAAGCCCATCAGGCAATTTCCTGAACTGTTTTTCACTTTAAACTTATGTTTTTAATTGTTTACCTCAAATCTGAATCTGGGAGCTTTTTCAGTTTGTTATCTGGGATTTCTGTATGAGGAGGAAACAAAGATGTAATTTGATAAAGTATTTAAGGCATAAATTAATTTTTGAACACAAATAAAGAAATAATTTACTAGCAACTACAATTAATAAAATATTGTCATGGAAATGGTCACTAAAGATAGTAGTAAAAAATTTAACTTGGGGAATTCTTTTAATCCCTTTTTTTTTAATATAGGCAAGATTATTTTCTACAAGTAAAAACTTAAGTCAGCTAAAAGTTTTTTAAAAGTATAATAAAAATGCATCTATCAGTCTCTATAAATAGCTTGATTTTACTATTATTTGAGTATTTGCTACAATCTATAAATAGAAAATACATTTTCCATACCATTTACAGTCTATTTAGCACTCACTAATAACTGAGTTACAAAATTCACTTCATAAAAATTGCTGATACTTAACAAAAAACCTTAAATACCTTAATTTTTTTCTAAGTCATTTATTGTCCTGAAGGTATCATTAATTAAAATAATTTGTAAAACATTAAGATTTCTAGTCAGCAATGAACTCAGAGCTGGGAAGGTACAAGATGCACTATCTACATTAATAAATGTGCTTGTTTGGAATGTATTGTTATGAATGCATTCTGACTGAAGTTAACCCTTCAGTTTGCATTTATTAGATCAGTTTGGGCTATACTCTTTACAGTTATCTTGGTTTTCAACACTGCTACTCACTTTGAAAGTGCTCATTTAGTAAAAACTAAACTGAAATAAAGAACAAATTAATTCAGATCTGTGATTAATAATTATAAAACAAACTCATTGCTTTCTTTATATACAAACATGTATCACAGTTGGCCTTGTAACATAGAGAAAAACTGTTCTGTGACCACATAGAAAGACCCAGACTCACCAAAGCACCAATCCATATTCAGTCCCCTGAGCTGGTTAAATATAATTTGCATCACGGAGGCTACACATTCGGTCTCGGGGAAAAAAAAAAAAAAAAAAAGTAGGCAATGTTGATTTAGCCTCCCTTCAATACTCTCCAGCAGCTGCCTTAGGGAATAGCACTCAGAGGAACATCCCAATATGCCATGCTTTTCCTCACCATCACATTACTTTCTTGTTAAAGCATAAATGGTTGGTACAGGCAAATTGATTTCAACAAAGGAAAACCATTGTGAACATGAACTCCAGCATCCAATTCCCCAAAACAGGAACAGAGATTTATTTATAATTCAGAGATGCAGAATTAATTTTTTAATAGCAATTTTTTCTTATTATTGGAGTTTCCACTGTGAATGCCTCTGATGCTTGTATGTCTGGCAAACATCCTAACACCATCAACAGGATTTCCTATTTTGATGGGAGTTGGTTCAGACACTGCCAGCAGAAAGGTGCAAAGAAAAAGAAAAGCCTATAATTTCATTTAGTTTTTATAGTAACTTCCTTTTATTATTTGTAGTCAGTCTCTTATGGGAGTCTTTCCCTGTGAGATTTCAGCCACAAGCATATTTGATATACCAGGCTGAGACTCGTGCAAGCTTATCAAAACCAAACTAAACTTTCAAACCTATTAAAGCTTGCAAAAAGAAATGTAAGCTGACAAAACTTAATGCCAACAAGTGAAAAGTGACCAGGAAACAAACAACTAAGCAGTAGTGCATGTGTCAAAAATGCAGCAAAACATGGGAAAGATGATGCAAGGCTGTTTTCTTGATTTAAATAATGACATATTAAAAGACTCTCGAATCTGAATACTAATGACATTAGATGAAGAATGATGAAGAAAAGGAATGATGGACCCTACATCCTGCCTTCCTCCATTGCTTCAAGCACATGAAAGTCATCTGTATAATCAAAACCAAGATCACATAAAAGAGTAATTTGTTGGGGTTTATGGGTGGGAAAGACAAAACTGAGGTTCAGAACAACAAGGATTTCACATTAAATAGTGTGTTTTTAAATCCTGGAAAAAAAAAAAACCACACGTATTTTCTTTTCCTTTTTTACCTCATTCAGAAACCTGAAATGAGTGCTCAGCTCGTATTGGTCTGTCTTTAATCACAGGACCAGAAGAAAATAAAAAGACCAGCAAGATGCTGAAATTTCATGTATATCCCGTCTCTAACCAAGGTATAGAATACAGGAAGAAACAGGGTTTTTATGATAAGAAATGGCAGTTTCCTTGATCAATAGTCTTGTTTTGGATATAAACAATACCTCATAACCTAAATTCAACTTTTTCTACAGCAACTCGAGCAAGAGACCAGATTTTCAAAAATGCTGTGCCCCAGCAGACTCCTCTGAAGTCAAGTATTTAGAAAGCTAATTGAGGAATCCAACAGACTATCATGCTTTTGAAAATTCTGATCCAGACAATGTAAATGACTGCCAAGATAGCCAAGTACATTTACTTCCTCCTGCTTTTTCTCAGAACTGATACTTCAGCCGTGTTTTGTCTTTTCTTTTAAAAAATAATTAGTCATAACAGCTATGCAGCTCCTTCATAAAATCAAACAAAACCAAGAAACTGTATTATATTCTTACCATTAAGAAACAGTTGGAAAATCAGTAAAAATATAGCTGTTAGTGTCAGACTTTAAGGAGTCATTTTACACTAAAACAAATGCAGAGACATAAATAATTCTTTGGCTATATATATACATATATACACATACATGCACATACATATCAGAAAAGCATAGAGTGCAATTTACTTCTATATTATTTATGAAAAGATCTAAAGACTGATTAATTGTATTGTACAAAACGGGATTCTTTCAGAAAATATATTGCAGCTAAGAGAAAATGTGTCTCTGTAGCATATTTTTTCTTCCAAAGTGTGAATATTAAAAAAAAAAGTTTACATGTCATCCTGTTCCATCTTTGCATGTACTTGCTCTTTATCTCTAAAGCAGCATACGTTCCATATGAGAGAGGGGGTTGCCATGGTATCTGCACTTTAAAAAATTGAATAGCAGATCTAAAAGAAGCATAAAATCGATTTAACAAGTTGTCATGTAAGTTACCCTGGCCCATAAGGATGAAGTCTATGCACCTTTTTCTATAAAAAAATGTTTCTTTTTAAAAGAACACTAATTGTAATTCTTTTACTCACAGAGCTAAATACACTGTTTGTCATTAGGTTAGTCTCATCAACTTATGAATCTTTTGGGTGTGCATGTGGATTTTCAAGCAATTTTTTCCCTTTTCTCTTAAAAATACAACAAAATACAGAACTAGTAAAGAAATAAGTCTAAGCAGTGATCCTAATGCAGAAGATAAAATGCTAGTGTATAATCTGAGACAAAAATAAACCTTACTTAAAAATAAATTTATTAACTTTTTACTCATTATAAAGAAAAGATATTACAATAAACACCTAGAAAAAGGACATATTTATTTTTCTTTTTTAACTACTCTGAAGAGAAGGTTTCAAAACTCTTAATGTTGAACTTATAGTTGCAGGCACAAAATAGTCATTCACATTTCTAATGCCCAGTCTGTAGTGGAGGACAAAGAGTTCTTGCAACTGTAGTGATGTAGTTTCACTCACAAATTAGAGGAAATGTGGTTTTCCTCTGGTTTTGGATCATTTGTTTGTTTGTTTTGGGCAGGGTGTTTTTGTTTATTTGTTTGATTCATTTTGTTTTTTAAAGAGAGAGAAATACGAATGGAAGAGGACAGGTGGAAGATGACAGTCTGTTCCAAAACCATATCTTCTCAACTTTCCTGAAAGATAGACTACCACCAATTCATTGAGGAAACTCCACGCAGAATCATTACCTCTGCTGAAACACCCTCCTTGGAGGAGTACAGCCTTTGGAAAAAGGTCAATGTTACCTAGCAACTACTAAAAGCCAGTGCCTTTTAATAAATTAACCCCTTCACATGAGCTTCGGTAACATCTCACATCACAAAAGGACTTCCTATTTTCTGCACAGAACACACTAGACATTTTATTTTCCTTTTCAATGGGTTCAGCTGGCAAAAGCTGCCTGATGAAATCATGGCTGAACCCAGAAATTCTTTTAAGGATCGGACTTATTCAGTGGAATATATATCCTAACGATGCTCAGATAGAATTATGCTGATCTCTTGTAAACCCATACAAAAATCAAAGGCTGTTTCACAGAGTTTCCAGAATTTTTTATGCCAAGTTGCCACCTCTGTGGTTTGGCTGCAATTAGGTCCCAGAATGGGAGAGTCATAAAACACAGCCAAGGTGGCTGTGCAAGGTAAAGTCCACAGAGCAGCCACAGACACTGTTCCCGCTGCAAGGTGGGTACGAATTCTTACCGATTTTCTCTCTGCTTTGAATGTAAATTCCAGATGGAAATAGGAGATGAACATGAGTGGATTTAAACAAGAGAAGCTCTTTGGTTCAAGGATCCCAAATAGCTGACATTGTGTGGATTATGGTACTCAAGGCAAATGCCAGAGCTGTCAAGTAGGGGAAACGTGAATCAGTGTTAGGGAATGCAGGCAGACACCATGCTAAGACTAACTAAGAAGGGGACAACCTCTCTCCCTGATTATTTTCCCATATCCTAGGATTCATTCGTGGCCCACTGTTTTTCTAGATTTGCTCTCTCTCAGTGAAGTACCTCTAGGTTAACAAACTAGCTCCCAATTTTATATGCAGTTCACCTGCCTACTGGCATATGCAACCCGAGGAACAGGGATTCTTCCAGACACATCTCTCTATACCATGACACACCAGAGGAAGGACCAGAAAGCTTCACAGAACAACCATTATCGCAGGCTCTATCAAAAGCTACAAATGTGTGTGTTTTTAGACACAGCCACTACTTGCACACCTCCCCTGTTATTTTCAGAGAGATTGAGAGAGAAATATTTCACTGAAGTTGGGTGAGAAGCTGAGTTACCTTTATTGCTTCTCATCACTTCCTGTGTAGCAAGATTTACTTAGTCTTGTTAGACAAGTTCATCTTTTCAATACTCTATGTTAAAATGAGGGAAGTATAATTAACATTCACCCCTCTAGAAGATTGTCATATGTACACAACACCTGAACTATTCTATTGGATTTAAATCCAATATCTTAATCCAAGAGTTCCCAGCCTTGCTCTGTCTGCAGTCGGTAACCTTATTTATGGTACAAAAATACAATTTTGTCCAGCTATGCTCTAGCCAGAAATAAAATACTTGGATTTTAACCCTAGTTCTGCCTCAGTGAGAAAAATGTCTAGTTGGCTAAATAAAGAGTTAAGATCTCTTCATGGCACGAGTTCAGAACAACAGGTTTAGCTCCATATCTCCCAGTGTTTTGTGAAGGTATGTATGCAAGATTAAAAATACATTTCAGACAGAAAAGACGATTGTATCAATTTTGCACACTCCATTTCATGCTTAATGCCTTTTCCCAGGGACACCAAGCTAAAGTTTATGGAACAAATTTATAGAATTATACCTCTCTCTTTTTTAAACATAAAAATGTTACCCAAAACGGTCACTTCAAGAATACATCTTAACCCAACCCTCCCCCACATACATGGCAAACTCATGACAAAATTTGTAAAAGATGGCAACCCTGACTGACATGACGTAAAAGGAATGCACTATTCTAGAGAAAGTAGTGCCTTTCACTTAAATAGTATTTCATATTTTATTTTTCATATTATTCATAATTTCTTTGTATATTTTTATTACTTTGGACTCAACTGTCTACAGAAACACCCTCATCTTTCTATCAGCTCAGAAAAATTTATTTTGTATCCAGTAAGGCATTAGGTATTTCCAACTACTCCATCCAACACATGTGAGACACAATAGGTTTGACAGCAAAGGACTGTCCATTTGGCTTGTGCATTATGTCCTTCTTCAAGTCCCTTAGCCTTCACTGTTTCTTAATATCCTAATTAATTTTAGGTCATCTGCATTCCTCATCACAATCCCACTTCTTTTACAGGAATAAGATGTATGGAGTACCAGTAGAACCACCATAACTAATGTCAGGAT